CCACTGAGTGCAATCTTCCCCCAGCACAGAAACATTCAGGCCCCCATTTCTGAGGGAGGGCGGGGAGCTGACGTGACAGTTTGCTTGCCACCATTCTTCAGCCCGTTTTTGGCAGGTCGCTAGCAAGATCCCCACTATCAAATGCTTTGACCAATTTTCGGTCTCCATCCCTGTAGGCTCTGCTGACCACTCCCTGCTTCCTGAAGTTGTCCCCTCCCTTGATTTCTGTGATACCTCAGGCCTGGCCTTTGTCCTACCTCTGACACCACTTCCTCTCCATTTCCTTACCACACCGCCATAGCTCTCCCGGGGGCACACACTGGTCTGGCAGCCTGCATGCACGCACACACCCTCTTCCTTGCCTCCTGTCTCCACCCACATCTTCTCCAGGCCCCCAGTGGCTGGTGGGTGGCAAGGGTGTGGCCGATGGAGGACGTCATTGTGTGTGTTCCAGGAAAGCTTCCGAAAACGCATGGGCTCAGCTGATGCATGCTTTGGCCCCAGCCCTGCGCCCTGCACCCTGCACCATCTCCCTCTCTCCAAACCTAGGACAGGGACCTAGCGGAGGCGCGGCCACCATTTTAAGCAGAGGAAAGTCACAGGCAGCGACAAGGAAAGTGACAGTACGATGATCACCTGCTGCGTTCCACACCTGGCTCTAAGCTGGTTTTGCCTCAGTCTTCACACCAACCAAAGAGACTGGTGCCATTATGATCTCCATTTTGCATCCATTGCAGAGATCACTAAGGCACCAAGGCTGTCTGCAGCTCTTCAGGGGCAGCGCCTGGATCTGGACCCCGGCGGTCAGACCCCAGAGCGGCACTGCATCCTTCACAGATCCTGATGGCAGCCCTCAGCAGCAGGAGCCACCTGGATTCTCAATGCCCAGACTCCTGCATGGGAGAGCGCCATCAACCTCCCTGTGGGACAGCCCCACTGCCAGCTCGAGTCACAGTCACACCTTGGAGACCCCTGACACATCAGAGAGCCACGGGATCCTGTGACCCGCTGCACTCCACTCTCCCCAGACACACACACCCACAGCCGTGACTGTCGGCAGCCATTTCCGGACCAACAATTTCCAGACTAACCTCCACTGCAGATCTCCTGCCAAGGCCCGGATCCCAACATCCGGGAAGAGAAGTAGACTCTTCTACTTGATCACTGCCGACAGAGCACACTCGGCACATCCTAAATCAGAACCCCATCCCGCCTCCTCCACCTGCTCTTTCTACTCCACGTCTCATCCTAGAAAACGGCACCACAACCCTCACAGAGCCAGGAATCTAGGAGGCCACTGGATTTTTCCTTCTTGTTCACACTCCCCTCCACTCACATCAAGCCACTTTGGTGCCCTCACGGCAGCCTATTTGACATCCAGGACCAGGGCCTCCTCTCAGGCCCAGTCCTCCCTCAGCGAGTCTCCTGCCTCTGCTGGCCTCTGGTCTGGGCCCACTCCTGTGCCCCTCAGTGTCTCTAGACCAGGTGTCGCTCCTTTGCTGTTATAAACTCTAAGATGCCCTGGACCCTGTGTTATTCTCATCCTAGACCTGCCTTCTTCCATGGCCTGAAGTAAGTCCAAAGTACAATGTGCCTTGCTGTTTCCTTTCACTTCCAAAAGATTAGACTAAAAAGTGGCTCTTCTGCCTGTTCCTAGCTGAGTGTCGTCTCCAGCGAGTGTGCTACCCGGACTCTCCTCCATACTCTGCCCGCCCCGTGGGTCAAGGACGCAATCTGCAACAACAAGCACCCACGCTCGGCTCTGAACTGGAACGGGCACACTCGAGCTTCAGCAAATTTATCACTATGCGCCTCTAGTTTCTTCCCCACTCCCTAAGGCTTCAACCTCCGAAACTTACGAGCTGCAAAACCTTCCTGGCATAGAGAACTTTTCCGTGATTGATCTCTCCAATCAAATTATACCCTCTCATTTCATTTTCACTGGTAGGGTTTTCTCCCCAAGCTTCAGTGATGTCTAACCGGCTGTATTCACTGGACTTCATGATCTTCACATGCTTCGCACGCTGCTGCTCCTGCCTCTGAGGTCGTGAAAGATGGCTTGACCTCTTTCTCTAAATGACAGGCTCCTCCAGGGGCTGAGCGAGACTGGCGGGTGCCACTCAAACAAAGGTTAGTTACAGATTTGTTCCCCATATGCTTGGAGAGGTTGAGGTTAGCACTAGTGAGGAGTGTGCAAGCGGGTTTGTGTCTGTGTGGTTGTGTGTGTCTGTGTGCAGAAGCCTGCACACCTGTGTGCATAGCATGTGTGTGTGCAAGTGCATGCGCTAAATATGCATTTACAGACTCTGCATCCATCAACAGCAGGACCAAACTGCCCTTCCCAAATACTGGCGAGCTCCACGAGGAGACCTGGGATGCATACCATGTATTCCTGACTCAGGCTGGCAATGTCCTGGCACCCACGGAGACCCATGGAACCCTGACCCCCTGAGCACACCTCCACACAGCTTGAGCATGGCTCCCCCACTACAAACTGTTCCTCTGACTCTGACGTGCTGGCCGGCCTCCTGCTGAAGACGAACACTCTCTCCTGTGCTGGGAAGCAGTTCACCTAGTTGGCTGGTCTGCCTTCAGACCAGGTCCTGTGTGTCAACCTCAACCACCGCAGCTCTCATTAGTTGCTTAGCAATGAGACAACCTCCTATGAAATCATAAATGGAAACGAAGTGTCAGAGGGGTTGCAATAAAATTCACTACATGGATATGTCCTTATCCTAGGAGGATAATCTGTCCTCGGGTAAAGCTCATCTCTCCAGATTACAGAAAGGATGGGAATCTGAAGCCCACCACATCCTTCTTTCCAAGTCAAAGAACGTAACACTGAGAGGGCTCTGAGTACCAGCATGTGCAGCGTCGGAACCTCCCACTGACAGCCAGAACAAGGAGCCACTCCCGAAGAGCTGTTCCTACTCAGGACCTGTGCCACGCTCCAGGATTCCCCACGTCCTGTGGAACCAGTGGGAGCATGCGGCAGGCCAGGAGCTGTGGATCTTTAAAGGTTCTGGACACATGGCGAACACATGTCCCCAGAAAGAGCCCAGTTCCCACTAAGGCGTCACAGATCTGTCTGCTGTTGTCTGAAAGCCCCTGGAGAAATCCCACACCCTGGGGATTTCTTAAACCTTTGATTAACTGGGATTCTGTCCTGTACTTCAAAGAAAGAGGAATATCCAAGTAACAACACAAGCTCACCGCCAGAACCAGGCCAGCTGCAGCTCTCAGGAGGTAGCCACGCCCGGGCTAGTGCTACAGGCAGCTGCACCAAAGGTGTACAAGCGGTCACGTGACAACCTGAACGCTGAGGCCCAAGGACTGGCGGGTGCTCAGGTGTCGAAAGCACAGAATCCCATTACCAGGTTCTACTCTCGGAAGGAACAGTCAATCTTGAAGATCTTCACTAAGCAGAGCGTCTGAGGTTTACTGGCTTGAAGACTCAGCAAACTAAGAGTTCAGCAAACCAGAACAGCCTCTCTGGAGGGGACCCGTGCCTCTGCCGGTGCTGGAGCCTGCAGGTCCCTGGTCTGTGAGCTTCCCCAGAAACCCTCCAATCTCATCCATGCAGCTGCCAGAGTGAATGTTCAAAGAGGAGAACCTGAGCACAGTAGCTGGGGGTTTTGCACGCCCTGAGACTCGACCCCAAGCTTCTCCTTCTGAGCACCGCAGCCCAAGTTGCCCTGCCCTTCCTCCCAGTGCCACTACTTGTCACTGTGCCTTGGATTCCAGGCCAGCCCTCCTGCTGCCCTCTCTGAATGCCCAGCCTCAACCTAGCTCCTCCTCATCCTGTGAGACATGGCTAAAACGTCACCTCACCCTGGAAGCCTCCCCTGACCCCTAAAAGGGGACAGGTCCTCACAGCAGCCCAGGCTTCCTCTTGATAATGTGAATGTTAATTACTTTAATTAAGACTTTAAATTACTCATCTAAAATCTGTCTTCCGTGCTACAACCACAAGCTCCGAGAGGGCAGGGATCAGGCTTTCCTTGTTCTCCTGCCCAGCTCCCACAGCACAGGGCCAGGAGATGCTCTGTCAATAATGGCCGCATTGAACGGAAGTCTTATCCCCAACCCAGCGCTCTGCACCAGACCCAGCAGCAGGGCAGGGCTCCATGAAGGGCTGCGTGAATGACAAAACATCAGCCCCATAAGGAATCTGGACAGCACACCATGCAAGTTAAACGCTTCTTTACAACATAACAAAAGATGGACTTGGACTATACTAATGAACATTCCCCAAACCTAGGAAGCAAGATCTAAAAAGGACTACAAATGCAATAATCACATGTGAAATCTGGGACCAAACTTCTTTTTTTTTTTTTTTTTGAGATGGAGTCTCACTCTATCGCCCAGGCTGGAGTGCAGTGGCACCATCTGGGCTCACCGCAACCTTCGCCTCCCAGTCTCAAGCAATTCTCCTGCCTCAGCCTCCCAAGGAGCTGGAACTACAGGCACGTGCCACCACATCCAGCTAATTTTTTGTATTTTTAGTAGAGATGAGCTTTCACCATGTTAGCCAAAATGGTCTCGAACTTCGAACTCCTGACCTCGTGATCCATCCTCCTCAGCCTCCCTAAGTGCTGGGATTACAGGCATGAGCCACCGTGCCCAGCCCAAACATTTTTATATGTCCACTTAATAGCTGACCAACAGAAATAAATGGTATGTTTTACACAGATGTTTGAAAGTGACACTGTAGGCCGGGCGCGGTGGCTCAAGCCTGTAATCCCAGCACTTTGGGAGGCCGAGACGGGCGGATCACGAGGTCAGGAGATCGAGACCATCCTGGCTAACAGGGTGAAACCCCGTCTCTACTAAAAAATACAAAAAACTAGCCGGGCGACGTGGCGGGCGCCTGTAGTCCCAGCTACTCGGGAGGCTGAGGCAGGAGAATGGCGTGAACCCGGGAGGCGGAGCTTGCAGTGAGCTGAGATCCGGCCACTGCACTCCGGCCCGGGGACAGAGCGAGACTCCGTCTCAAAAAAAAAAAAAAAAAAGAAAGTGACACTGTATACTCACACAATGCGTGGTTGTGTTCTGATGTGTGCATACGTGCGTGCATGTGCCTGCGTGTGTGACAGGGGTGCAGGAAAGATAGGGACGCAGGAAGGATGGGGACGCAGGAAGGACAGGGACGCAGGAAGACAAGGAAAGTGTCTCTGAGCTCATCTGAAGACACCACTCATAAGACACAAATTCCATTTTCTCCAGTCTTTCTTTCTTCCGGACAATGAAGACCGTGGTCATGCCCCTTCGTCCTGTCTTGCAGATAATCAGGCAAATGCATCAAGAATCGCTTGGGTCTTACAACAGAAGTTGGTGGTAAAGTAGTTAAAACAAACTTATTTACCACATTAATTAAATGGTCTATTTAACACGGAATATCAATTCTCTAATCACATCTCAGTTGAACTTCTCCTTTTAATTAACAACTCTGAAGTCTACTGACAGAGGTCCTACTGTTCTAGGAGCATTAAGAGCATTTTCATTATCTGGCAAATGAGGGGTAAGAGGCAGAAAAGCAAAGCACGCTCAGGAGCGGCCTCTCCCCTACTTAAGAGATGATTAGGGAGTGAGGCGCGGCAGCTCTCATTAGTTGCTTAGCAATGAGACAACCTCCTATGAAATCATAAAGGGAAACAAAGTCTCAGAGGGGTTGCAATAAAATTCACTCCATGGATATGTCCTCATCCTCGGAGGATAATCTGTCCTCCGGTAAAGCTCATCTCTCCAGATTACACCAAGGATGGGAATCTGAAGCCGACCACAAACTGGAAACGCTAAAAACACCATGTAATAAAAACAGGCAAGCGCCCAGTCCAGAAGGCTTGCAGGAAGACAAAACCGGGTTTAAATTAAAATGCTGTGAGTAAACAGTAAAGTCCCCTCTTTCCTATTTATTTTTCATTCATAGATGAATTTAAAAGCAGATCCTCACTTTTATTATCAGAGGTTTTAACTTAAAAACATATTCAAAACAGATTAAGTTATAGTACAGTTGATTGTGATAAAGGAAAACCATGCAGTGCTTAAAGGGAAACAGCATAAAAACATAGCCCAACCGAAACCACTGTTCAACCAGCTATTTCACAAGTAATTAATACTCTCATAAAACCAAATGTTACTAGTATAGCAAAAGTAGAAAAGGGATGAAATGCCACAGAAACGCAATTAAAGAAGATTTGATTTTCAGCTTGTAAGCAAAATATGTGACTGATGCTCTATCACCTTAATCTTAAATTCAAACCACTAACTGGGCATGGTGGCTCATGCCTATAATCCCAGCACTTTGGGAGGCCGAGGTGGGCAGATCATGAGGTCAGGAGTTCGAGACCATTCTGGCCAACATGGTGAAACCCCGTCTCTACCAAAAATGCAAAAATTAGCTGGGAGTGGTGGTGCATGCCTGTAGTCCCAGCTACTCAGGAGGCTGAGGTAGGAGAATCGCTTGAACCCAGATGGGGGAGGTTGCAGTGAGCCGATTTCACACCACTACACTCCAGCCTGGGTGACAGAGCAAGACTCCATCTCAAAATAAACAAAATAAACAGACAGATTGATTGATTGAAACCATTAAAGTCAGTACTGTGATGGCCTTTAGAATAAACGACACTCCCCAAATATATTATCTATCTTCAAATATTGTTAAAAAGAAGATATTAATCATTACAACTGCAACTTAATGTCTTCAGTAGTTGAGCATGCGGATTAAAGACACTTTGGAAAGCTGTTGTCGATGAGAAAACTATTATTCTCTACTATTCCCTATCATTAATAACATTAAACTTAGTGGCAATTCTCAATATTGTTATAATTATGCATAGTAACACACGGCAAGTCCACCGAAGTTCACGTTTAAGTTTGCGGGAAATCTTACCTATGTATTCACAAATGAAGACCACAAAGAAAGGAGTGACGAGGTCATTTATCCCCTGGACGTATCCACTGGCGGGGTGGCGGATCGCCCATATGAACAAGATCCTTTCGAAAATCTGAAAGAAAATGGAACAGGTGGTAAAGCACGAAGTAAACATGGCAGAAACTTTAAAATGAAAGCATCCATTACTTGAAATGTATATTGTATATTTTCATTGTCCCTAATATTAAGATACAAATATAAACAAAAATCAATTGCTTTTTTTTTTTTTCTGAGACAGGGTGTTACTCTGTCGCCCAGGCTGGAGTGCAGTGGTGCCATCTCAGCTCACTGCAACCTCTGCCTTCCAGGTTCAAGCGATCCTCCCACCTCAGCCTTCCAAGTAGCTGGGACTATAGACACGAGCCACCACGCCCGGCTAATTTTCATATTTTTTGGTACAGACAGGGTTGCACCATGTTGGCCAGGCTGGTTGTGAACTCCTGACCTGAAGTGATCCACCCACCTCAACCTCCCAAAGTGCTGGGATTACAGGCGTGAGCCACCATGCACGGCCCTTAATTTTTTTTTAATCAAGTTTGAATTATCTTAACTATTATCTCACAAGCAATGTGCAGCATTTCACCAGCCCCTTGCTCAGTCCGTCCCTACGCTGGCTCTCACAGCAGAAGCTCTCTGCTCCTCCACACCCCACGGGCCACTGTGCAGCAGCACATGGCCTATCAGTGGAGACTTCCTCAGGGAGGGAGGCATGGATGAGTGAGGAGGTGGGTGCATGAGTGGATGGACAGGTGGGTGGATGGATGCTCTAAATTTCCCTCATTAAGTAAACAGGTTTCTTTAAACCTCTGAAAAGTTATCACCATTCAAGAAGACAAACTTAAACATCTTCCATCACTTACAAAATCTTAGCAGGGATTCAGGTACCCAGGCCAGGCATGCAGGAGTCATCCCGGCCTCCTCCCTTCCAATACTCTCATTATATTCAGTTGATCCCTCTCTCCACCATCTCTTCCTCCCACCCACTCTCTTCCATCTTCACTCATAAGGAGGGTTTTATTATACCAACGTGCAACACAGTCCTATCACCCACACCATACACGTGCACATGCGGCTGAAGAGCTCTGTGTGCTCCTCACCTCCCACGGACAGAGCCTCCACCACCACCAGCACAGGCCCAGTGCAGTGTCCCTGGCCCCTCAGTCTGGTCTCCGCCCCGGATCTCCCCAGCCAGCACCCACATTGTGGGTGCACTGAGCTACAGCACTCTTCCCCAGCTGAGCCTGCCAGCCATCAGCCCGTGCTCCTACCGCTGCCTGGAAAGCCTGTCACGCCTGCATCGTGAGTCTCAACACCCCTGGCTTCCGGGATTCACCTCAAACACCACTCCCTCTGTGAAGACTCTGCTGCCACCTGTTCCCCCTCCACTCTCTTTCTGGAAGAGCCAACCACTACCTACTTTGTGGCCCCCTAGTTCCCACTCCTCTCCACTGGGTCACTGGCTGATGGCTCCAGCCTGACCTTCGGGCTGCCTGGCAGCTAAGGCCGGGTCCAACTGCTCTGTCCAGGCTCATCCACACAAGCAAGGCACAGGAGGTAGACTTCAGCAACACACACTCCGTCAGATGGATGAATTACATCGCTTCCATACAGACTCGGCCCCGCAGAGCCGACCACGCTCGCACCCTGAGGAGTCGATCTCTTCCCACACTGCCTACAATCCTAAATCTTACTGGGCTTGGCAGGCTCCATCCCCAAAATCACTATCAACCTGGGACTTACAAAGGAGGGACCTGGAGCCAACAGGTGAAGTCTCTCAACCCAAGGAACCTATCTAGAGTGGCCTCACCAGCCCTCAAGTCTAGGCCCCGCCCTATCCCCACGCTAGCATGCAGTCCACACGGCTGTTCAGATGAGTAACAGAGCAACTGCCTAACACAGCAGGCACCTGAGAGACGCCGGTGGAATGAGTAATACATTCGCGCATATACATTCATACGTGCTTTTCATTTTCAGTCCACAACTTTCTAGAAAGAACTGAATATTTAACATCAAAGACCAAACCCACTCAACAACACAGTGCTATTTAAGAATTTCTCACGTACCACAGCTTCGCAAATGATGTGAATGCTATTTAACCGAGCTGCAAGCAGTGGCCAGAGGAGCCATGTGGGGGCAGCCCCTCGGTGGCCCCAGAGGGAGATGAAGAAGCAGGACGGCAACAGGAAGGGCCCCTCAGCCAACAGTGCTGCACCACGAGTCACCAACGCGCAGCCCCATCCCTGCCCGGCCACTGAGGCGTGAAGGAAGAAGCCCAGGGGACGGCGTGTGACTAGAAGACAGGGAAGCTAGGCCCACGAAGGCAGGCACGGGGCACAGGTCCAGCTCAACAGCCCTTGGGTCTGTTCACCAGCAAGCCTCTGAGGGGCCTCTGAGCCCCCGAAAGGGTCAGGAGCAGGAGGTGGAGGGGAAGGGGCCACACGAGAACAGGAGCAGCAGCAACAGAAGGAAAAAGGAATGACAGAGGTGGTGACTCCACGGGAGCTGACCACACGGTCATGAAGAAATGGAGAAACTCTGCCCAGCTCCTCCTCACCAAAAAGGTCCAGGGTGCCTGAGGCCACTGATATCCCTCCACACGCATCCAGGGGGCCACGGCAGCCAGCAGCCACCGGACCTGTCCCTGTCACCACACGGTGTCCGCTACAGCCCAGGGAACAGGCAGTGCAGCGCCCCAGGAGCACACACCCTGGACAGAGGGAGTCAAGGCAGGCACCGCCCAGAGCAGGGGGCAGTCACACTGCAGAATGAGAGAGAGACACACAGAGAGAGAGAGAGAGAGAGAGAGAGCAAGCACGTGTGACTGTGTGTGTACAGGAAGACTTTAGGCAGTGGAGCACTCCCACCATTTAACAAGGCCCCTCACTTTCAGAGGGCTTGTCTCACACATGCACGCACACACACACACACACACAAACACACTCTCAAGCCTGAACCTACTCATACGCATGAATGCAATACTTCCCTTAGCAGCCTAAGTGCCGGAGAAAACCAATTTGGCAAATAGGACATACCCAGCTTCACCCAGGGAGGACGCCAAGGGGACCTAAGTCCTCTCGGCACAACAAGTTCCTGGGTTGTGTGGAACATGAAACAGGCTGCTGCAGGGAGAGAGATCTGAGCAGGCCGGAGCCCCTGACTCGGTTCCACAGCAGAAGGCTCCATGAGGCCGCGTCTCTGAGCTGTACCTGAGATAGACCGAGTTCTGCCTGAGCACAGCCTCGGGACAGACACAGAATGCGGAACGCACTACGGGGCAAATCGGTGGCACCAAACAGGCACAGCGGGAGGTGGCGAAGCCTTCAGTTAGCAAACAAACAGTGCTGAAGCACTTGCCACGTGAGTGCCCTTTCACAGGCAACCCAACGACCCAGCAATTACCTTCTTCCCCTCATCCAAGTCAGGGCAGAGGGCCTCCGTCCACCCAGACGCCGGGACGCTCTGCACCAGCCTGGGTAGTAATGCCCTTTAAAAGAGCACGCGTGTACTACTTTGAGGAAAAATGGAGAATTCCGATTTCTTATTGACTGAAGAAAGCTAACAGTCAGTCCAAATTCTTCAGATTGAACTCTGCTTGATGTCCGCTGTCATCCCACTAACATGTAAATAAAGGACAGCCAGCTCAAGCATTGAACAAAAATGACCTTTAACGCAGCAAGCAGGCTAAAACAGTGAAAAGCGGGTGTCCTGTGGCAGTGTATGACACTGCACACAAAGCCTGGCTCTGCCACTAAAGGCACGTGCTTTTAGGCCATTGCCCCTGAGGCCCACCCCTCAGAGAATCCCAGGGAGACCTGCGGACCCCAGAGGCCATCACCACTATAGCAAACCCCAGACGGGTGTGGCATCCAACCCTTTCCCCCTACTCCACTGCCACAAGCCTGACCACCATCACCTTGTGTCTGGTCCACAGTGAGTCTCCTGGCTGGTCTTCCTGCTAACACCCCCACGCTCCGCATCCTGCTGAGCAGCAGAGATTGCTGCTGAAAACGTCAGGTCACACCGTCCGTCCCCGTGGCTTCCCAAGACCCTGATGAGACCACGCACTCCTGAGCACGGCTTCAGGTGCGTGCCCAGCCACTCCCTGCTCTCTGGCCTCCAAACCGGCACTGGGTGCTCTCTCACCAGGCCCAGCCACTCCGCAGCTGTCTCGGGGCCTTTGCACTGCTGCTCTTCCCACCTGGAATCCCCACCTCCCAAACTTCCCACAGCTCCCACGATGTTCCACCCAAGGTCTTAGTTCACATGCATCTCCTCAGAGACAAGCTCCTCTACCACCTCCCCACCCAAAGCAGCAGCTCCTCCACCGCGCCAGCCCGGCTCTGGCCTGCGGCTCTCGCCCAGTTCAAGATGGGTCTCTGGGAAGGGTTTCCTCCACACCCTTTACTGCGGCACCCTCAGTCCTGCACGGCCAGCACAGAGGAGGACTGGGAAGCTCTTTGTGGCTGAATGGAGGTGCGGACGGTGGAGGCGCGGACTGTGCAGGCGCGGACGGTGCAGGCGCGGGTGGTGCAGCTGCTCCCTGGTGCCCTGCATGTGAGCCCTCCCCTTCCTCCCTTCTCCAGGTTTTGTGCCATTGGCAGGGCCTGGGCTCATTCTGGGGGTCTGTGGGGACAGATAATGAATGCCATGGGTGCCTGCCTGGGTTTGTGATCAGCCTCTCCCATCTGTTTCCTCTACCAGGCAATGCTGCAGCCTGGCACTTCAAACATCAACCAGTCAGGACCTGCGGGCCCCCACTGAGTGGAAAAACGCACAGAGAGGAAGGGGCAGAAGTAACTCCATTGAAAGAGACAGGGAAGATAGGAGCACTTGGTGAAGGGAGACTGCAGAGAGGTGACGGGAAGAGAGGGGGGTGAAAGCTGAGGCGGGAGGAGGAGAGGAGCCTTCTATGCAGAGAAAAGAGCATGTGTGCACACACGGAGAAGAACACACGCACACACACTGAGAAGAGCACACACACAGAAGAGCACACACAGAGAAGAGCACACACACACACACACAAAAGAGCAAACACACATGGAGAAGAGCACATGCACAGAGAGCAGCACACACACACGTGTAGAGCACACATACAGAAGAGCACACACACGTGAAGAGCACACACACATGA